GCTGGGATTATAGGCATGCGCCACCACGCCTGGCCAATATAGTTATTTTAAAGAATGATTGGGGCCGGGGATATAGCTCAGCAGCACAAGCACCTGCCTGGCAAGCGCAAGGTCCTGAGTTCAATTCCTGGTACCAAAACAAAACAAACAGTTGTATTTGATAATGCCATAGATATAACTTGATGTTAACGAAGTACACATTTGAGTCCTTGGTGTTCTTGGATTTGTTTCCACAGTCTCGCTACCTTCTGGGGAAAAGATAACTTTTCTTGATACTCCAGGACATGCTGCCTTCTCATCAATGAGAGCCAGAGGTGCTCAGGTCACTGACATTGTCGTGTTGGTTGTAGCTGCAGATGATGGGGTGATGAAACAAACTATAGAATCTATTCAGCATGCCAGAGATGCTCAAGGTATTGTGTGGCTGACTTACATGTATTAGGAAAGAGGTTGCTTTTAAAATTTTTTTCTAACAGCAGGGCGTGGTAGTGCACGCCTGTAATCCCAGCACTTGGGAGGCTGAGGCAGGAGGATCGTTGGGAGTTCAAGACCAGCCTGGGCTACAAAGTGCCCTCAAGGCCAGGCTGAACTGTACAGAGAGACCCTGTCTCAAAAAGACCAAAAAAAAAAATTTTTTTTTTCTAAAGGTTTGCTACATAAAGTTGCAGTTTTGGAGCCATTTACATGTAGCTCATTCAGTTTTCACACTAGTCCCAAGATTGTTAAACCAGTTTTAGAGATAATCTTCAAAGATAGTTAAATTGTTTTCCTCCAGACATGTAACTTAAAGCAGGACTGTAGCAGGATTCAACTTGGGACTTGTACTGACAAGTACAATCTTTCTTGTACTGTGACTTAAAAAAACCCAAACCTTTGAATCATGGAAAATAAGAATAGAATATTGAGCCAGGCGTGGTGGCACATGCCTGTAATCCCAGCACTTGGGAGGCTGAGGCAGGAGGATTGTTGCAAGTTCAAGGCCAGCCTAGGCTACAAAGTGAGCTCAAGGTCAGCCTAAACTGCATAGTGAGATCCTGTCTCAAAAAGACCAAAAGAAAAAAAAAAAAGAATAGAATAACGAACTCCTACTTTCCTGTCACCTAAATTCATTAAGAATTGCATACTGGTGATACTGTTAGTCCTCATTCATCTGTCTGAAGTGCTTCTCTAAACTGAAACATTTTCTTTTGAGACAGGGTCTTGCTATGCAGTTCAAGCTGGCCTTGAGCTCACTGTGTAGCCCAGGCTGGCCCTGAACTCATGGCAGTCCTTTTGCCTCAAACTCCCAAGTGCTGGGATTATAGGCATGTGCCACTGTTCCTGGTTTAAAGAGAAACTTTTCTTTCATCTTCTTTAAATAAGTTATTTGGTCAAAGGTATAAAGTTGAAACTTTTGGAAAATCACTTAGACATCTTCTTCTTTATTTTTTTATTTAAAAATTATATAAATACCACACATGTATTCCATACATTTACTTTTATTCTGATATGTTAAACCTGCCTCCACCAAAGAAATGTACCTGATGTCATGTCGTATCCCTCCCCCACCCCACTCCCACTCCCAGATTGGCAAGGAAAAAAAAAATGGGTTGACAATTACTGATCATGTCCAATTCTTTCATGTTGCAACATGAAAATAGACCTAGACTTTAGCAGCTAGAACTCTTCCCAATTATATCCTGTTACATAGCTAATTTGTAACAGTGTTTGAATTTGGAGTCTGGATCTTCTAGCTTCCAGTGTTACTTTCTTTCGTTTTTAACTTTTTAATTATTTATTTTTATTATTTGAGCTATATATATGTGTGTGTGTGTGTGTGTGTGTGTATATATATATATGATGATCGCATTGCTCATAGGGAATTTGTACCTATACATGATATATCCTGTTTCCTTTTTTTTTCCCAATCCCTTCCCATCTCTTTAAACCCCCTTCCCCTCCTTGCTTACAAAGTTTTGTTCCATTTTGTCCTTCTTTGTTTTTTTTTCCTCCCTTCTTTCCTTTCCCCCATACCCCTCCCTAGTTCCCTTTTTTTGAACCATTTCTTCCTATTTCACGATGCCTATTATACACTTTGGTCTTTATTTACCCTTTTGGTTTCTTACACCAAAGAAACAATGTGATACTTACACATGGTGTGTCTGATTTATTTAAGAGACTGATTTAAGAGTATGGTCTCATCTTCTTAAATTTTTCAAAACTGCCTTTGTGTCTTGTACTGCACTCTTCATGATTCTGGGCAGTACATAGCAAAAAGGAGAGAGAGGGGCTGGGGATTTAACTCAGCGGCACAGCGCCTACCTGGCAAGTGCAAGGTTGTAAGTTCAATTCCCAGTACCGGGAAAAAAAAAACAAAAAAAAAAGAGAGAGATAAGTTCTCCATGGATCCTATACCAGTCAGTTAGTTGAGATAGGACAAATGCATTATATCATGCATTCTATATCTGTTCTTTTGGTCTTTGTTAGGTTCAAGCTCATCAACATGGAATGCACTTGTTGACAGTATTGGATTGTAGCTTGAAAAGTCTTTGGGTCTTGTTCAGTTTCTTTGACCCTGAGAAAATTGTAGCATTTAGTGAAACTCAACTAGAATTATCTTCTAGAATTTTGTGATATCTCTGATCAGAGGATATGTTTAGTAATGACAGATTATAAGAGTTTTTGGTTCATTGAATAAGTATATATTTATCTACTGTGTTGATCACTGAGCTAGGTGTGTGAATAGAGGTGCTATTAATCCTAAAAGGAAATTGCAATAATGATATACCCCACTCCACCCTACCCCTGCTGCCAGCAAATGATCTGGTGGTGTTGAATTAGACTCTTCTTTGAATTTCTCTGGAGTTTATCATCAGTGTATTAGCAGTCTCACTTTCAGGTTTAAGGATAGGCCTCTTTACCCAGAATACTGTTCTTATGATCATGTGAGGTATCTGTTCTTCATCAGAATTGCCTTATAATTACTGTGCTAATAGTTTGTACCTGAATTCCTTCTTTATATGTAGAGTAGAGTGGCGTGGTATGAATCTAGATAGGGGTTTTCAAGCCTTTTGTTCAGTAAGTACATTCACTGAATAAAAGCCAGAGCAGGTTGGTACCTCTCATTGTGAGTACCTGGAATTGAAGATATTTTCATTTTCGCTCTGCTTAACTTTATCTTTTTCAGTTCCTATTGTTGTTGCAATAAACAAATGTGACAAAGCTAAGGCTGATCCTGAAAAAGTGAAAAAAGAGCTGCTGGTTTACGATGTTGTGTGCGAAGAGTATGGAGGTGATGTTCAAGCAGTGCTTGTTTCTGCACTTACGGTAAAAGGGCATCTCAGGGACAAATGTGCTCAGATGCAAATTCTGCCCTCAGACATTTTGAAATACATAATTTATGTTGTTGGGAAAAAAAATCTTTTGAGTAGCAGACAAAACTGGTATTGTTATCCTGATGTGGCTGATTAGGAATTAGGTTCGGAGAGGGCATTTAGCAGTTTAGAGTAGTGTAACTCATCTGTGGGAAGTTGATTCTAATCCTCATGCTTTTTGAATTATAAGATACTTAGAACAAAGGGAATAAATCGTTTTTTTTTTGTTTTGTTTTGTTTTGTTTTTGGTACTGGGAATCAAACTCAGGACCTTGTAGTTGCTTGTGCCACTGAGCTACATTCCCAGCCCAGAGGGAATAAATGGTAAACAGTGTGGGAATAGGGTAACAGTAGGCTGTTTGAAACAGAAATGAAACTCAGTTGGAAATAAAAAGTACTTGTATTTCCATGCCTTTGATTTTCCTAAATTTGTTACCTCCAACGTGCTTAGAAATTATACTTCTTTTCATAGTAAAGCTTTTCTTTTCCTCCAGAATTCATTAAATGGGATTTATTTTACCTCTCCAGTCTATTGCAATTGTAATTACTCTCTGAAAGGCAGATGGCAAATTTATTACAATACAATTAAAACACATTTTCTAGGATACCATTGGATGAGTTGATAGATGTAAAGCTGCTGCGGCATACCAGAAGCGATTCCCAAAGAATAGAAAGAAGTGGGAGAGGCAGGCAGGGAAGTAAGATGAAGTGTTCTTTGAGGATATAAAAGGCTACTTCTTGCAAGGAAACAACCTCAGCTTTGCTTTCCCATTTGTTTGTTTCTTGCTTTTTTTGGAGATAGTATTTGCTCTATTGCCAAGGCTGGGCGTGCATTTACAGTCCTCCCAATTCGGTCTCCCTAATGGCTGGATTACACGTGTCAGACCCAGTTCTGCTTTTTTGAGCAGCATTTTATAAAATTAAAATAAATATTAAGAATAAGTGGGGGCCGGGGGTATAGCTCAGTGGCATAAGCACCTGCCTGGCAAGCGCAAGGTCCTGAGTTCGATTCCCAGTACCAAAAAAAAAAAAAAAAAAAATAAGTGGGTGAGGGCAGCCCTCTCTTGGACAGAAGCTTTCTTTCTCTAAATATATTCTGCTGTTAACCTCCATTGTTCCCAAAATTCATTCTTCAATTTCAGAGAACATGAACTCGTCCCAGATATTGTTCAGGTTGGGAGTTTTTATTTTCCTGTATCATTTTGGAGGTCCCCACCGAGATCCTTGGACTAAGAGTTAAAGTTGTATGCCTGCCCAAGATGAAAATGCCTGGTGTCTATCAAGGGCCTTTAGATAGACTCTCTGGAGAATACCTCTGACTGCTGATCAATGACTATGACCCCTTTCAGCCTGAAGAAGCCAGAGCTGTCATCACCCGTTACTCCTTCATGGCAGTTCGGGTTACTTCTTCAGAGGTGGGGATGTTATAAGCAGCTGAGTTAATAGAAATGTTATAGGCAGTCAGACAGGGCCAGGCCCTTGAAGGAGCCAACATGAAAGACAAGATACATATTTGCTGTGGGCCAGAGGGCAAGACCAAAGATTAAACAAATGCACCCACATACCTCCCCAGGGATGGACATCAGGGTTTGATATTCTAAATAGGTAGTGATCACCTTGTAGAGTCACTGACTCAGCCCCTTGAAGGAAAAGCCCGTTCTGTATTCATGCCCACTTACTGTGTGACTCGCTTCCCTGTTTGGTCCCAGTTTACTCAATTTTACCTGCACAGTTACACTCGTAATCTTATTGGCTGACCATAGTTTTGTCCTACCTCATGCCCACCTTGCAATTTCCCATTTTCCCCTACCTTGGACCCACCTCATCTCGTGGTTTTGCTCTATGAAAGTCTCTAGGAAAGACAGAGTCCTGGGCAACCCACTTGGGCCCCCCTTCTGTCCCTCTCTTGGACAGAAGCTTTCTTTCCCTTAATAAATATGTTCTGCTCTTAAAAAAAAAAAAAGAGTGAGTGGGTGAGAACGCAAGGGACAGAAGCTTTCTTTCCATTAATAAATATGTTCTGCTCTTTTTTTTTTTTTTTCCTGGTACGAGGAATGAAGCTCAGGACCTCGTGCTTGCCAGGCAGGCGCTGTGACACTGAGCTAAACCCCCAGCCCCCCCCCATGTTCTGCTTTAAAAAAAACAAAAACGAGTAAGTGGGTGAGAAGGCAAAGTATTTAGTTTTTTCTCTTCTGTAGTTGCCTGTACAAACCATGTGCAGTCTCTCAGCTGCCGCAGGGGATGGAGAAGCCCCTGCCCGGCAGTGCTCCTTCCATCGCTACTCATCAGGGCAGTGACCGCGGAGCTCTAGGGGGCTTCGTGAGCATAGACTATTACAGGTAAAAGAATAATGTGACCCAGCCTCTTCACTTCATGGACATGTAATTAAAATTCACAGAAGTGAAGTTAGTTTTCAAGGGTGTATAGGTCGGTGGTTACAGAGCATAGCTTAGAGCCTGGGCATTGTTCTCCTCACTTAATAATTCCAAGTAATGCTTGATACTTGCTTTACAATATTCTTTTTGTTACTATTTTTTTTTATTTGTTCTTTTTAGACAGGATTTCACTTTGTAGTCCAGGCTGGTCTTGAACTCGAAGTGATCCTTCTGCCTCAGCATCCTTAGTGCTGGGATTACAGGCATGTGCTACCACCACTGGCCTTTTCAAGATTCTTGAGTAGCTCAAATGACATAATAGATATGAAGGCTTATTCAGTTGATAGAAGTTGAAATGTTGAGTAGCATCATCAGGAAAGTGAGAAGAAAAACACAACTGTACAGGTTCATGGAAGAGAAAAAGAATGAATAAACCATGTGTTTATAAAAGGGTATTAATAAATATCAGTGGCCAATATAGTAAAAAAAAATACAGTTCCTTAAAAGAACTGTCCCTGATCCTTTTCTCCTTTTTTTTCTTTTTGGTTAGTCTTTTGAGACAGGGTTTCACTATGTAGTTCAGGCTGGTCTTGAACTCACTATGTAGTGCAGGCTGGCCTCAAACTCAAGGCAATCCTCCTGCCTCAGCCTCCTGAGTGCTGGGGTTACTGGTATGTGCCACCATGCCTGGCTCCCTTCCTTTCTTCTTATATTTTTCTTCCTTTTCAATGGGGTAATTCATACTGTTAATGCTTACAGAGAAACATGTAACTGTCAGAGATGATTTGGCTTTCTGATTCTGGTATTTATACTTATAGATAATACATACTGATTTTGTTGTTAAAGGGTGAGAATCTGATGGCTTTGGCAGAAGCAACAATTGCTCTTGCAGAAATGTTAGAACTGAAAGCAGATCCCAGTGGTCCAGTGGAAGGAACAATAATAGAGTCTTTCACAGACAAAGGAAGAGGGTAGGACCACACTAAGATTGTTGTTTTTAATAATTTTGTTCCTTGATTTTTGTTACTTAATTATATAACAATGTTATTAACATTATTTTTATTGATGTTATTTTTATTGCCTATATTATTACTGCATGTTGTTAGTTCATGAAGAATATTTTCAAAGCATTTGTTTTGAAAAGTTTTATTTTTAGCAGACAGAATACAAAGATGAACTTTAGATTTTAGCAACTATGTCCTGTCATACTCAGATGGCATAAGGAGTTTAGTTTTTCTCCAGTTGACTTGACTACACTGTTAAAACCTCATAGACTAACAGCAATTGGAATAAAATACTAATTGTTACATTTAGGGTTTCTAAAATGTTTATGACTTTACCCATCAATGTAACATTTGAGAAGGTCTTTGAAATGGTGTTCTCTTCTTGAATTTCCCTGTTAGCAAGAGAGGTTTGTTACTGCTTTACACACTGTAATAACAACTGTGAGCAGTCACTTAGCTGACTTGGAGAGTATGATAGAAAGTGAGTTAGGATTTTTTCTGAATACTTACTCTCCCTTACCATAACCTTGCAAGAATTTTTTTCCCTCCTTCTTTTTTTTTTCTTTACTACTTGGGATTAGACCCAGGATTTCATACATGCTAAGAGCACTCTACCACTGAGCTACATCCCCAGTCCTTTTAAAAGTTTATTTTTATTTTTTTTTTTTGTCTTTTTGAGGCAGGGTCTTGCTATGCAGTGCAGGCTGGCCTTGAGCTGACTTTGTAGCCCAGGCTGGTCTTGAGTTTGCAACAGTCCTTCTGCCTCAGCCTCCCAAGTGCTGGGATTACAGGCATGTGCCACCATGCGTGGCTTAAAAGTTTATTTTGAGAAAGTATCTCATTAAGTAGCTGATTTTATTGATGTGTGCACCACCATGTTTGGCTGGTGTTAACCTTTTTAAATGTAAAGTTTAGTGATGTTAGGCAGTATATTCACATTGGTATACATAAGTCTCTAGAGTTCCTTCATTTTACAGACCTGAAATTGTATACCCATTAAAGACCAACTCTTGGTCCCACCAAAAATATTTTATGGTATCAAAAACTGAGAAATTAGCCAGGCGTGGTGGTACATACCTGTAATCTCAGTGCACTTGGGAGGCTGAGGCAGGACTGTTAAGAGTTTGTGGCCAGCCTGGGCTAAAAAATGAACTCAAGGTCAGCCTGAACTGCATACTGAGACCTGGTCTCAAAAAAGACCAAAAAACAAAACAAAACAAAACAAAAAACGCTGAGAAATGGCGAAGAAAATTAACCTGTGGACACCTAGGTTTATATATACATATATATATTTTTTAAACCTCATGTCTTTGCTCTACTTAAGGAAGTATAATTACTGTATATATTACTTGTGACATTAAAAATAATATATTCTTTTAGTCCTGTTACAACAGCTATAATTCAAAGAGGAACTTTGAGAAAAGGCTCAGTTCTGGTTGCTGGAAAGAGTTGGGCAAAAGTACGCTTAATGTTTGATGAAAATGGAAAAACAGTCAGTGAGGCCTATCCTAGCATGCCAGTGGGAATTATAGGCTGGAGAGACCTTCCTTCAGCAGGAGATGAAATTCTTGAAGTTGAATCTGAGGTACATATACTTGATTTCTCTATATTAGAGATAATATAATTTTAAATATAATCTCTAGTGTTATATCAAGTGTGTTAATATTAATAAATAATTCTAGTTTATAAGGGGCCAAGAGGTGGCCAGTTATGCCATTTTAGAATTTGACTACAGAATTTTTTAAAAATGAGATAAAATTTTAAAGTTAAAACATTTCAATTATATAGAAAGTTCCCAAATTAAGATTCTTGAAACTTATAAATGTAGTGGTTTCTATGTGTGTTAAACTTATTTCATAATGAAAGAAAACACAAAGCCTTTAGCATAGTAGGTATTCTTGTCTATTTCATTAAAGAATGACGAGTTTTTCACCCATAAAGGCAAGGGCACGAGAGGTCATTGACTGGAGGAAGTGTGAACAAGAACAGGAGAAAAGTAAAGATGACCTGAAAATAATAGAAGAAAAGCGAAAGGAACACCAAGAAGCACATCGGAAATCCCGTGAGAAGTATGGCACTTTGGTTTGGAAGGAGAGATCATTTATGAAGTACTTAGAAAGAAAAGAACAAAAATCCTTGAGGCTAAAGGAGAAAGCAGAAAGAGATTCCAATACACTTCCTGTAATTATTAAAGGTACCTTTTGAGTATCTTATAACGTTTGTTTTTGTTTTTGGTGGTGAAACCCAGGGATTCATCCATGCTAGGCACACGCTCTGCCACAGAGCTACATACCCATCCCTTTTTACGTTTTTATTTTGAGCAGAGTCTTGAATTGCCCAGGCTGGCCTTGAGCTTTTAATCCTCCTGCCTTAGCCTCTTGAGTAGCTGGGATTATGGACATTAACACCATGCCCAGTACAACTCCCTTTTTGAGTACCTGTATTCTTATAATTTTTGAGGGGCATTTTCCAGTAAACATGTTCCTTGCTGATTTTCTATAAATGTACATTTTTTTCAGTATACTTTGTATTTATAATGCTGTCTAAATAAAAGTGGTTTTAAGTGGTAAATGTCCTGCATATTTTAACTTTTTCCTGTTTGTTTTTTTTGAGACAGTCTTGTTCTATAGTTCTGGTTGGCCTTGAGCTCAGGCTGGGCTGAAACTTGTGATCCTCCTACTTCAACCTCCCAAGTGCTGGTATTATAGGCAGGAACCAACATACCCAGCTACATATTTTAACTTTAAATAGATCATTGTCATTTTTGTATTTGTCACTAATTTAACACTATCAATTTTAAACTTTTACTTTGCTTAGGTGATGTTGATGGTTCTGTTGAGGCCATTTTGGACATACTGGAAACCTATGATGCTTCACATGAATGTGAACTAGAATTAGTACATTTTGGAGTAGGTGATATTAGTGAAAATGATATTACCTTTGCTGAAACATTTGATGGTAAGGATTCTGTTTCTTATTTGTTGAACTGTGTTCCCTAGATTGCATTGTGAACACTTTAGTCTTTTGTTGCTTGGCTTATCAAACCTAACATTCCCATCAGAATCATCCTTCCTGCCTCAGTCCAGTCCCAACTAGCAGTTGAGGCTGAATAGGATGTGCAGTACTGCAGCCAGATCTCCACTTGTCATGGATTACTGCAGGCTTCGGGGCCAGTAGTGTTTCTTTTTTTTCTTCCCCCAAGCCTCATTACCACTCTGTCTCTCATTCTCCCATGGGAGAAAGGTTGATTCTTTCTGTATTTTGAGTGCTCTGAACACTATACTGAGCTTCATCAGTGCTTTCCTGCATCTTTTACTTTTTAGCTGTTTGTTAATTGGTAACTTTATAATCTCATTTGTTAGATCAGAAATTTTTTTAAGCTTTAAATGCCTATAAGGCAGGAGGGACTGTCTTTATGAATTGAACTTCAAATATACAATAGTGGGATTCATGAAAAAAAAAAAAGGGATTCATGACTAAAGCACCAACATTGTTGAGTGATTAATGAATCATTTAGGGGCCTGGGGATTTAGCTCAGTGCCAAGAGCGTGTGCCTGGCAAGCGCAAGGTCTAGTTCGATTCCTGGTACCGGAAGAAAAACAAAAACAAAGAATCATTTAGGAAAGAGGTAATTTATAAGCTGGATTGATTAGAATTAGCTATCACCTTCACTACTGAAAAGGTATTTTCAATAATGCTCTTTAATTCAGCGTTGTTAGATACTAACTAGCCTAGCACTCTGATATGTAAGGTAGATAGTATTGTATTTATTTTATTTATTTTTTGCAGTACCATACTGGGAATCAAACTCAGGACCTTGTGCCTGCCAGGCAGGCGCTTGTGCCACTGAACTATATCCCCAGCCAAGATAGATAGTGTTAAAGGATATCATAATTATGAACTTTTGAAGTGATTGTTTTTGTCTTGATTAAGCTGTTTGGGCAAAGTACTTCCACTCATTCTTTAATTTTCTTTCCCCACTCATTTCAAGGTAGGTTTATTTTGCTTTTGCTTCTCTCACCAGTATTTGTTATCTGTTCTTTGGTAAAATGCTTAGTTCCGTGGAGGTCTTTTGTTTCTTTTGACGACTTTTGAACTTGGCCAAAATAAGTCACTAGTTTTAAGCATTTTATGGCCATTTGGATACCTAACTGTAGACCACAAAAATTGTAGGCAATAGAATTAAATTGAATAATAGAATTGTTAAAATGATTATTTCAGACCTGATCATTTTTTATTTTCTTCTCTTATAAAAATCAAGTCTTTAGCTGGGTGTGGTGGTGCATGCCTATCATCCCAGCACTTGGGAGGCTGAGGCAGGAGGATTGCTGTGAGTTTGAGGCCAGTCTGAACTGCATAGCAAAACTGTCTCAAAAAGACCCCTCCAAAAAATCTTTGTTTTGCTTTGTACTGTAGGGACACTTAAAATAGTATTTCTTAAATTAATAGATTTAAAATCCAAAGAAATTTTCCTGATTAATTTCCATATTAAACAAGACAATACAATTTATAAAATTCTTTCAGTGATTTGAAAATTTACTAGTTTCACTCAAAAAAAAAAAAATTTCTCCTCAGGGACCAGTGATTAATTTGCATAGAAGGAAATAAAACAAATTAATTGGTTTCTGTTTGAAAGACAAAATAAATAGTTAAAATACAACATTTATGCTGCTTTATTGATTATATTTGTGCTTGTTAGGTATTATATATGGTTTTAACGTGAATGTAAGCAATGTCATCCAGCAGTCAGCTGCAAAAAAAGGAGTAAAAATTAAACTACACAAAATCATTTACCGGCTTATTGAAGATTTGCAAGGAGAACTGAGCAACAGAATCCCTTGCATTGTGGAAGAACACCCAGTAGGTGAGTGTTCACTGGATGTTACTTTAAAACTTATCTCTCATCCTGTAAATAGCACCTGATAGGGGAAATATATTCACTGTTCCAATGTAATCTTGTATCCCAGGAGAAAAGAAAAAGACTACCATGAGAATGTTAACCTCCTGTGTATTATAAATACATGTCCATATAACACCTTGTGCTTTTTAAGCAATGGGAATATAAAGGCAAGTAAGCAGTAAGAACTTGCCTTCAAGCTTAGAGGTGAACAACTAATGGTAATGCAAATTCAACCAGAATGGCAGGCATAAAGATTCAGTGTCATGAAAAAAAAGATTTAGTGTTATGGAAGGAACCATTTTGTCCTGCAACTGCATACAAATATACCTTGAGAAGAAAATTTAAATATTAAATGTTTTTAAATATTCTTGCATAAACTTTGGCCAGATTAAAGGTTGATTTAAAACTGAGATACTGTGTCCATTTACCTCTAAATATGTACATTTACTAGGCACAGGATGTTCTTTTACAAAACCACAGGTGATCAAACTAAGAAAGTAATGACTACATAATACTATTATCTGCTCATCTATATTCAAACTTTATCTGTTGTCCCCATAATATACTTTATATCATTTTTCTCCTACTCCTGGATCATAGGTTATAGTTTTCATATCTTTTTAGTTGTTTTTAAACTTGGAAATTTTTGAAGTGTATATAAGGCATCAACTTTGTAGAATGTATGTTAATTTTGAATTTATCTGACATTTCCTTCTAAAGGTAATTTTTTTTTGCACTTTTGATCCTAATACAGATATAGTTCAGTCTTCCATGATCATGGGCTTTTTATGTTTTTTTTTTTTTCTCCTTTTTTTTTGGTACAGGGAATCAAACTCACAACCTCATGTTTGTCAGGCAGGCACTTGTGCTGCTGAGCTATATTCCTGGCATATTTTTGTTTCAATGTTCTTATAGTAACAGAAATTTCAAGTTCTGTATGAGGGTTTCTAGAGATGAGCAAACACACCAAATGCCATTAACACTAGTCAAGTAACACCTTAGAAAACTGGTAACTGCAGGTCATGGTGTTGGAATTTTAACTTTCAGCCAGAGGAAAACCTTATAGAATTAGTACTCCTAAATGGATACAAAAATATTGAAGTGATTTGAAGATAAATCAGTTAGGAGCCGGGGATTTAGCTCAGGGGTGCAGCACCTGCCTGGCAAGCACGAGGTCCTGCGTTCATTTAGCAGTACCAAAAAAAAAAAAAAAAAATGCAGTTATCTACTCTAGAAGCTATTTTGAAGAAAAGCTGACAGCTAGGTTTTCATTAACGGACAGGAATCGCCAAGGCTTTTCACGTGTTATTCCTCGTTAACAGTTAGGAAAATAAAGTTGGCTTTTTTCTATGCATGAGCTCATCCTTTATGCCTGCTGGGCAAATACCATACCACTAAACTACATCTCCGTCTTGGGTTCACTATAGAATGTTAGGAACTGCGTATTTCTCAGAATCAGTAGTTTTTGGTACATTAATGTGCTTTTCTTCCTAAAGGTGAAGCTTCTGTATTAGCTACTTTTTCTGTAACTGAAGGGAAAAAAAAAATTCCGGTGGCTGGCTGCAGAGTCCAAAAGGGACAGTTGGAAAAACAAAAAAAATTTAAATTAATGCGCAATGGACATGTTATTTGGAAGGGTAAGCAACAACAAAATCCACCTGTTATCGGTCACCAAAACCTGATTATTGGTTTTAAATCATCTTTCATCCTCATAGTCCTAGTTTAAGCCACTTTTAACTGCTTTGTAGTTGGACTTCCTCCTTTTGTGTGTGCAACTGGGGACTGAATGCAGAATCTGCACTGCGGTACATCTCCAGCCTTTTTTTTTTTTTTTTTGTCTTTTTGAGACATGGTCTCACTGCAGTTCAGGGTGGCCTTCAGCACACTTTGTAGCCCAAGCTGGTCTCAAACTCACAACGATCCTCCTGCCTCGGCCTCCCAAGTGCGTGTGCCACCACACCCAGGATGGCTCCTACTAGTTCTAAAGACTCCTCCAGGATTGTCTGTCTCCCAGTCTTGATTTGCGAAGTTTTGAAAAACGCCCTGGACTATCTATCTTTCTAGTTCCATTTCCTACACTTCCATATTCTTCCTGTTTCTTAACTTGACCTTTCACTTACAGTATTTAGTTTTTCCCATTTAAATCCAAACCATAGTCCTGTCCCTTGCAGTCTTCACCTGTCTTTAATTTCTGGGGGCAGAGAGGGGGGTCTTGGGTTTCTTAGGTCTTCCTCCATCAGCCTCCAGTAGCCAGCCCCCCAGTAAGTAAGGGCTAGTAGTAGGCATGTGCCACCAAGCTAGGCTTACTTTAAAATGGGAGATTCAGGATCTTTTGCTGCAAGTCTTATCTGTACAGCAGATTTTTTTTTGGCTTTATTGTTTAGTTTCATTTAACATGACTATCACATTTATAAGAATTTAATTTTTACCACCAAACTACATACAGCATTTTAAGTAGGTACCTTACTTGGTAAATATACTAACCTTAAGTTTTTTTTTTTTTTAAAGGATCTTTAACTTCACTGAAACACCATAAAGATGACATTTCAGTCATCAAAACTGGTATGGAATGTGGTCTCAGTTTAGATGAAGAAAAAATAGAATTTAAAGTGGGAGATGAAATTGTTTGTTATGAAGAAAAGCACATTCTGGCTAAGACTTCCTGGGATCCAGGATTTTAAAATTAAAAATGCCAACTAAATGTTTTACTTATTTATATAGCAGCTAGGTTTTGCTTTGTTGAAGGTAAAAAGTTCACCAGTAGTGGTCAAAAAGTACCTGTGTTAAAATGCGCTACAGAAACTGTCCAAAGCGCTACAAGAAATAGGACGCCTTATTCAAGGATGTGTGTAATTAAAAGTCCTGTAAAGACCAAGTACCTAAAAAGGGTATTAGTGGCATTATAGCTGAGTATGTAAATTAGTTTAGTCCTTCCTTGACTTGAGCTTCACAGGTAAAATATGCTACACCAATCAAGGACTGCTTGAAACTGGTCTTTTTTTGTTAACATCAAGAAATCTTCCAAGGATTTATCCTGACTACAACATTGTTCCTGCAAAGCTTTAACCAGTGGCAATGTTCCCTTAACCTGCAGACAACAGGTCTCACTTAGAGGGACTCACAATGCATTTCTAAATGAACTGGTAGTTTGAAGTTGTGTATCAGTATTACGTGTGGCACTGGAAATTAAAAGACTTTAACACCTTCCCTGTGCTTTGTACTTTTTAAAAATATTGGATAGACTTAAGTCACCCAGGCTGTGTTTGAATTTGTGATCTTTTTGCCTCAGCCTCCCAGAAACCTGGATTTCAGATGAGCAATGCCATACCAGATTTGCCAGAGCTTATTTGACCCAAAGTCTTACTGCAGTGGAGGTGCCCTTCTCTTTCTGTTAAGTGGGACAGGCCAGGGACCCTGCTAATAATTTTCTTTTGATCACTAGGACAGAACCCACAAAGAATTATCTGAGCCACAATAAATAGCATTGAGGTCGAGAAACTGACTTCTCTACTATTAAGCTGTTTCCTTGCAGCTGGCACTTTGCAATATCCACGACCTGCAAGCAGGTCACACGCTATTCCCAGAAAAAAATTTACATGATGGCACAAGCACATTAGGGTGGGTAATATTGAAAAACATCTCCTTAAATGTGCAATAAAATTCAAATGCTAAATGTTCGCTGAAGTCTTTTTTATTAACTCATATAATTACTTGTCTTCTGGTTTGTTGAAGCAGTAAGTCAGACAACACTTGCCACAATAATGTCTGTCAAAGTGGCTGGCCATGAAAACTCCAGCTCCACATTCATCTGAAGGGCACTCTCGACGAAGACGACTAATTTTGCCATTTTCATCCACCTGAAAAGTATAAGTTTGTTGTAAGATAACGTTATATAAAAAACAAATTATGTCTGACTTAAACGACCCCCCAAAAATCTTAACCTTTAAATGATGTGCAGTGCTTATAAGCCAGAGTATTCTAAATCATCACCAATAATTTTAACAGGAGAGTTTAAAAACAATCTTTGCAAGTGGTAGATGAAGCCCCAAGAATCCTGATAGTACTGCAAACTCAAAAACCCTTGTTTGGAACTAACAGCTAACAGTGAACCCCAAACAGGAAAAAGCCCAGAAACTGTTATTTCCAGAATGGCTCACTCAAACCAAAAGTAGCTAATACTGGATATTCAAGTATTCTATGTTCAAGTCCAATTATTCCATAAGAAAATGTTGATAGAATTACTGCTTCCACATAAACCATGTGAAACCAGCTCACCTTGTAGTATTTTAGGACAGCCAACTTAACCTTCTTTCTCTTATGCTTATTCTTCTTGGGAGTGGTGTAAGACTTCTTCTTCCTTTTCTTAGCACCACCCCGGAGTCTCAATACAAGATGAAGAGTGGACTCCTATTCATGGAGCAAAAGATGAAACAAGCTTTTATGGTGCCTAATGAACCAGTTATCATGCATCTTCTAGTTAATGTGAAAAATAGTAGTGCTTCTTAAATGTTAGTGATCGCCTGGGAATCTATTTGCTAGTCTAATGCTGTTTTCCTCATTTTTGTTTAAAAAAGGGAAAAATTTCCAAAGTAAAACTTTTATTTTTAAGGTAATGCTTTTCCCCTCCAAACAAACCTTCTGAATGTTGTAATCAGACAAAGTACGTCCATCTTCCAGTTGCTTACCAGCGAAGATCAGCCTTTGCTGATCAGGAGGAATTCCTAACGAAAAAAAAATTTTAAGTCACTGTTACAGTCCACAGCCCTTCATTAAATATGTAAATACGTCCAGCACCTTCAGGTAAACCAGTGGTTTTTACATGATAAAAAAGCAGTCTGTAGTGCTGGCTGGCTTCCAACTCGCTGCAACCCTCCTGCCTCAGCTTCTCCAGTGCTGGGGTTACAGGTCTAGCCCACCACGCTCAACTCTGAACCACAGAACACTACTTGCCTTCCTTATCCTGGATCTTGGCCTTTACATTTTCTATAGTGTCCGAGGGTTCGACCTGTAAAATTTAGAATCCAAGTATGCTGGTTAGACCAAGAAGCTAGAACGAACACTCATTTCACCCGACGCTTACAACAGAACCTAACTGAGCCGACACCGGGGCAAACCGCCCCCGCCCCCCCGGCACGGCGAGCACCACCCGGCCGGCCGCGCGCCTGCCCCGACGCCGGGGGCCCGCTCCGCGACGCCGGGGGCCGCCCTCGGCTCCGGGCAGCGAGCTACCCTAGACGCAGGCTCGGCCTCGGAGCCCAGCCCCGAGCCGTGCGCTCCACCCCAAGAGCAGCCCAGGGCCCATCCGGCCCGGGCTCCCCTCACACCGCCCGCCATACCTCGAGCGTGATGGTCTTCCCCGTGAGGGTTTTTACGAAAATTTGCATCTTGGCGGCGGTTCCACCTGAAGACGAAAAGAAAGCGGCGGGTTAGCGCGACAGATCAGGGAGAGGCGACGCACACGCCGCGGGCCGGAGGCCAGGCGCAGAGGACACACTCACCACAGATGGCGGATCCGAAAGGAAGGCCGCCTCGCGGACCCGCGGACTATCCCAACCGAAGGTCCCACCCCTTAGGCGGCCTCGGCAGACGCCGGGCTGCCGTCACGGAGGCTGTCTAACCCACTGCCAGATTAAGTTGTGAACCCCTTTTCTCTTTTTTTCCAAGTATAGGCTTATTTCCCCACTTTGGCCTTCAGATGCTTTCGAAATAAAAGATTTTTAACAATTGTAGACTGTTTTAAAAAGCGTTTTCTCAAACAGCTGACGAGGATAAAGGGTTTTAAAAAGGGCACGACTGTAATTGGGGAAAAGGGAGGAAATGGAAGTGTGTTCTGGGAGTTGTAGTTTCCCAGTGCTCTCGTCTAGAGAGGACTACTTGTCCCAACATGCAAGTCTCTACCCCGAGACTTCCTAGTTACTGTCTCTAAGCCCCGGAAACGCCTTAGGAGAAAGGGATTCAGGTGCGGACTCGAGGAGGCGGCACAGTAACGGCTTCGGGCAGGGTGGAAGTTATTAAAAGGAACAGGTTAAGAGGCAGGAAAATGGTGTGGGACGTGCAAGTGTCGTTGACCCGTTCACAGAGGTGCGGAGGGGGAGGATTATCGATCAACTAGACGCTTTCTGGGCCTCTAAGGGAATGGAAGGCCCCTGTGGCCTACTCCCTGAAAACGGAAAGATAAATGAAATATTAGAAGGGGAGGTTCAGCCTTTTCTCACCTTACCGTAGTCCCCAACTCGCTTTGAACCCTCAAGTCTTCTAGTGTGAGGAAGGTTCTGGGCCGGGTATGTCACTCCTGATAGTGTGAAACAGTTCAGTGTAAAGAAATCTTGAGTTTTCCACGTTTTAAAATGGAGTCATAAGGGAGAGAAACCTGTTCAGTGGTTATTTAGTTGTAGAATTTACAAGTTTGGACGTTGGGAGTGTTGAGGAAGGATCTAAAAGGGTAGTTTTGGGGTATGGATAGCAACCTATGCCCTTGCTCCGACATTTCTTCAATCCACAGACCTTTCTGGCGTGCCCTCTTAATGCTTTCTCTTTTTATCTCCCCACCCCCAAATTCACTGTAGCTTAATTTTCTCCTAGAGGGATCTAGTATCTATCTACTTGTTTTACTGCTTTCCAGCCTTTCCCCCCTTTCTAATGCATCTTTGTTGCCTTAAAAATACTCATTCCTGAAAAAAACTATTCTCTTTCAAATACTTTCGATTTAGGATACGATCCAAATTCCTTAGCATGACTTTCAGCTTCTGCCTTCCTTACAGCGTGATCTGCTAAAATGATCATTCACTCACTTTACATTTTAATAACACTGAGTTGATTGTTTCCTGACTTATTCTCTCATGCTTTGGTTCTTAATAATCTGGTCTTTCCCTCTTCCTGGAACATTTTTCATACTGTAGTTTGCCAAGTAGTCCCCACCTTTAGAACAAAACTTAAAAGTGTTGCTAATGCCCATTGTCTCAAACTTTCCCCTTCAGTTGATTGAACCCACACTTCTCAGGTTTTTGTTCCTACCATTCTGTTGAAATAGGTCTTGCAGTGATCATTAATGTTTTCCATGTTGCTAAATTCAGTGGTCATTTCATCTTATTTGATGTAAACAGCGTTTTACACAGTTGATCACTGCCTCCATCTTTTGAGACATTTTCTTTCGGGCACCGCAATTACTTCTATCACTCTGGAAGCTATTTTTCATTCTCTTATTGCTTCCTCTTGATCTACCAGATCTCTAAACTCAGAGCACTCTTAGTTCTGTGATCTTTGCTTATTTACGTTTTCTAGGTTATCTTATTCTGTCTAGTAACATTTAAATACCATTTATATGCAGACGACTCAAACTTGCCTTTCACTCTGACCACTTGTATTGAACTTATTCACATATCCAGTTTAGTCAATATCTCAGGAAGTTGTTCTTCCCATCTCCACATACAGCAATTCTAATTTTTTGACTTGCTAGACCAGAAACTGTGTGGTCACTCTTGATTGTTGTTTCATACCCTACATCTAATTCTTAAGTGAATTTTGGCTTTACTTTCATAATATGTGCAAGAACACTTCTCACCACCACTGTTAGAACCTTGTTTCAAGCCATCACCTTTTGCACAGATTATCACCTTTTAACCATACTTCCAACTTTGACCCTTGTTGCTTATAATCTGTTCTCCACATAGCAGTCAGATGATTCTTTAAAATGGAAGTCAGCTGTTACTCTCCTGTGTCCCATCTCACTCAGCACTGGGACAAATGGAGGCCACAATCCAGCTATTGCTTGTTTTGCCAAATCTCTCCAGAGAAAGGGGTAACTTTTTCTAAACTACACGAAGGTGCCCCATGGGCTGGTGGTATGTCCTACATGATGTGACAGCTGCCCCTCTGACTTCCCTCCCTTTCTCATGCTCTTCCAGGCCTACAGGCCTTGCTCTGCTCTAACACACGTCCCACCTTGTGGCCTTTGGACTTGCTGTTTTCTTCTCTTCAACAACTTCCAGCAGTGTACATGACCTGCTGTTTTCAGATTTCTGAAATAGTCACTTTGCCAGTGAGAGCTTTGCTCTTTCTTGACTTTATATAAAATAGCATCCTTCCAGCTTCCTTACTCTATCCCTCCTACCTTGTCTGTTTTTCTCCATGCAATTTACCCCATCTGTCATACGTTTTTTACTTATGTGTTATCTGTCTTTACTTCAATGTAACCCCTATAAGGTTTTATTCAATGCTATTTGTCTATTGTCTAGAATAGTGGTACACACAATAGGTGCCCTCAAAATATTTATTGAATAAGTAAATGCAGCACAATTTAAGCATTACCCTAAATATTATTCTGCCAGGTCAGTGATGGTGACCATGGTACAAACAGCCTGCTGCAGCATAGGTGCCATGACTGCACTAGGTGTTTTCCCTAACATTTCCATGTCCTCTCACAGGTTAATGAGATGCCCTTCTGGGCTTTTGTGCCACTGCTGTCATTTCTTCTGCGCCCTGTAGCAGTGGCTCATATACTAGATCCAATAGGTTTGTTTGTTTTTGTTTTTGTTTTTGTTTTTTTTGTACTGGGAATCGAACTCAGGACCTTGCGCTTGCCAGACAGGTGCTTGTGCTGCTGAGCTATATCCCTGGCCCTAGATGTAACAGGTTTGACTGGGATCCAAAGTGACTTGTTTTCAGTGTATCCCTAAGTGTCTAATAGGAATGGATGAGTAAATGGCAACGTTATTTGGTATAAGATGCTAAGGAACAATTGCTTTAATTATGTTCTGGCTTGAGCGCCATATCTCACAGTTTCTTCTGAGCAGACAAGATTATTGCTTAGTAATATGGCAAATACTTGAGACCTAATGCTAGAAGCTATTATGCATTGGAATGCATATGGTTGGGTAGGGATAATGGGAAATGAGAACAGCTTAGTTCCTGATCTTGTCAAGGAGACAGAGAATATAAACAGGAAGTCTGTAAAACAATATGATTGAGTGATAGTACCACACATGGCATTGACAGTTAACCAACTTTAAGGGAATGCAGGGCAACTTTCTTGAAACTGTATGAGCAGAGATTGAAGGATGAGTAAAAGCCGAGTGAAAGAGAGTGGTAGTGTGTATCTGGGGCGGGCAGAGGGACGGAGATGAGTGTGAAATGGCCCTAGGGTAAGAGAGCAAGTTTGGATCAGTGTGGAGTGGAGGGGTCAAAGTGCACTTAGTCTCTTTCTGAAAGTTTATATTTTTATTAGTGCATGTTTGCAGTACACAGTGAATACATTGCTCGTGAGGAGTTGCTACGTGTGCATGACATCTTAATTCTTTTTATACACTTCTCCTTCCTGCCCCCTCCATCTCTTAGTGCCTTTCAGTTTTGACAATGATCTATCTAAATATTTCCTATTACCTGTTTCTTATTTTGCTCTTTATTTATATTTTGGGTTTCTCATATGAGAGCAACCAGAATAATATTTAAGCTTATGTGTCTAATTTATTTCATCATGGTCTTAGATGCATTCATTTTCCTAGTAAAAGTTTATCTTTCTTTATGGAAGAGGAGCACTCCATTGTGTATAAATACCAGATTTTCTTTATCTGGTCATCTGTTGAGGAACATATAGGCCAAGATTTAGCTTTAGCTTTAGGTTGTACTGCTATAAACATGGATGTGTGTGTATCATTGTAATATGATGGCTTTAACTCTTTTGGGAAAATATCTAGAAGAGGAAGAGCTGGGTCAAATGGAATTTCTATAGTTTTTTGAGGAAACCCTGTAGTGATTTCCATAGTAGTTGTCCTAGTTTACATTCCTACCCACAATATAGAATGGTTTCCATTTCCCCAAAGCCTCACCAGCATATGTTATTATTTGACTTCTTGATGATAATCATTTTTTTTGGAGTAAGGTGAAATCTTAGTGTTGGTATTTTTATTTTATTTTATTTTATTTTATTTTATTTTATTTTATTTTTTGTCTTTTTGAGACAGGGTCTTACTATGCAGTTCAGACTGGCCTTGAGCTCACTTTGTAGCCTGGACTGGTCTTGAGTTCGCATCGATCCTCCTGCCTCAGGCTCCCCCCTACCCCCTATGCTGGGATTATAGGGTGTACACCACCACGCCTGGCCTTAGTGTTGTTTTGCTTAGCATTTCTCTAATGGCCAGAGATGTTGAACATTTTATCATGTAATTATTGGCTATTTGTACTTCTGAGAAGTATCTGTTTATTTCACTTGCCCAGCTTTTTCATGGAGAGGGTAATTTTTTTGAGTTCTTTATATATTCTAGATATTAGTACTGTCTCTAAGGTAAATCAGGCAGGCGTTTTTTTCCCATTCTGTAGGTTGTCTCTTGATTGTGTTGGTGGTTTCCTTTACTGGGGAGACACTTTAATTTGCTGTAATCCATTTGTTGATCCTTGATGTTATTTTTTGTGTAGTTGGAGTTCTGTTCAGAAAGTCTGTGCCTACACCTACTTTTCAAGAGTTTTACTTATTTTGTCTTCGAGCAGATTATTTTAATATTTAGATATTTGATTCATTTTGATTTTAGTTTACTGCATAGTGAGATGTACAGGTCTAGATCTAATCTTCTGCATGTGGATTATCAGTTTCCAGAGCATCATTCATTAAAGAGGCTATCTTTCCTCCAACTTACGCTTTTGGGCCTTTTGTCAAAAATCAGATGATCAAATGTGCCTTGGGTTGTTTCTGCATGCTCTATTCTATTTCATTGATCTAATGTTTATTGGTGGCCATTGTCCTCAGAGATTGTAATGTCTCCTGCTTTGCTCATGTTGCCAAGGTTGCTTTATTATTCTGGATCTCTTCTAGTTCCATATGAATTTTAGGATTGTTTTCTCTAGTTCTGTGTGAATTGCTGTTGATATTTAGATTGGAATGACATTAAATCTGTATATCAGTTTTGGTTTATAGCCATTTTGACAGTGTTGGTTTTGCCTATCCAGAAACAATGGGCATCTTGTCATTTTCTGATGTCCCTTCAGTCTCTTTTTCAGAGTACTGTAGTTTTCATTTTAGGGATCTTTCACTTCCTTGGTTACATTAATTCCTACTTATTTAATTTTTCATGATGCTCTTGTGAATTATA